TATGATTATTTTGTGGGTTGTTTTACAGTTGCTGGAAGGCAGAATGGAAGAGGATGAGATTCCTGAAGAGTACTGTGGCCTTGAAGGTTCAACAGTCCAAGAACAGCTGACGATTGTGAGCAGTCGACTTGATCAAAGAGAGGCTGAGTATGATGTCCTGAAAACAGAACTTAACAAGACAAAAGAAGAGTGTATTAACTTACAAGGTTTGTGACAATCGAATTTGTTCTTAATTACAAGAAACCTGTTGCATGCACAGCAATATGTAACTTTCTTGATACTTTCAAGCTGTGACATTGGCCTATTAATTCCTGTGCGTATTGGCAACTGAAGTCAAACACTGGGTAGAACTCATGAGAGAATGTAGCTTGCTAGTCACTTCATAGTGCATTAGTGACAAGTGACAATCCCTTTTAAGTTTTGGTCAACTTCTATTTTTAGACTGTGTTTGTTTATGAAGTTGGCATTGAGTCTGTTGTTGATTTCCATCCTCACTCCAAAGATTTTCCATTGATTTTGGCCTTTTTCCCCTTTTTTTTTCTTCACTATTCACAAAAACCAACACTGCAAATACTAAATTAACTTGGGAGGTGCGAATGAAAATCCTCTCAATGAAATTGGTTTCTGCTAGAATCTCAACATTGATTTGTTTTATGTTCCCTTTTTTTATTTAAGCAATAGAGCACATTTTCCATGGCTCTATGACATGATAAAACCATACTTAGCTTTCTCCCAACACCCCAAGTGGCTTTATCACATTTTATTATAATAATTTATGGCTGTGTCTCACAAGGACTGGGAACTACCGAATTCACAAATTTGATTGGCTGAAATCGATATTGAAAGCGGTCTAGATTTTCCCATCTAGACCTGCATCTAGACTGGTCTAGAAAAAAGAGGTACAAAGAATATAAAAAATTGGCACAGCCATATAATAAACATCTTTATTTATTAACCGAGCTAAGTCGGTGTGTATGGGAGAATCTTGACCTCAGTCGCTGGTACAGACCTCACTGCATTCGGTCTGTACTGGCAACCTCGGTCAAGATTCTCCGATACAGACCTTCTGGTCGGTTAATAAGAACTAAATAAAGCCTGGAAAAGCACCCTATTGCTTTTTTGACATAACTAGTTACTTACAGGCTCCTTATAAACCTGATAAAACATCCACTCTGAAACTGAATTGACCAATCAGACAATGCTTACAGTACTGTGTTCATTATGTTATAGGTATTAAGTCAGGATTGCAGTCAAGACTCAACCAACAGGAACAAACCATAATGCAGCTACAGTCAGAGTCATTAAAGCATGAATTAGCACAGCAACAACATGGGTCAGAAGTAGCACAGTTACAATGGCAACTCGCTGAGCGGGACAAGGAGGTGTCTGCCCTCAGGAATGAACTGGTAAGAAGAGAGAAAACTGTAGATAAACAGAGGATGGAACTTGAGGATGCTATGAGGCACATAGAAGAACTTCAATATGCACAGGTTTGTTCATTGTATTAACCCCTGCTTGAACTTCTAAAACAAAGTTAATGTGAGCTTCACACTAAATATCCCTTCCCCTAACCCAACATTAACCCTAACATGTTCTCAGTTGCCATTTTTTGACTAATAGGGGAGGGGTAGGGGGCACAGTTGCTCAGATACTCATTTATATTTATTTTAGCTCTTGTCAACATGATATTAACAAATTTTCAAGTTTGAAAATGACAAAAATTCACCAAAATAATTATTATCTGGAGGATGTTGAACCAGACTACAAGAAAGAGTATGGTATCAATAGTGTATGTATGACTCACAGAGTCACGTCATTTTACCTCCAGTGAAACAAAGATCAGCATGATTTTCAGACATGAAAATTAAATTTTTCCACTGGAAACAACTATTTGACAGAAGAGGCTTTGAAAAATTATCAAACAAAGGGTTGTCAGTTTCTAAGCTGTTGGTATTAATCTCCTGCCCAGCTTGATATTTTTGTTTCTGCTTATAGAGATTGTTTTGAAGAATGCTGTATAGTTACTAGGACTTAATTTGAAACTGATATGTTCTGTATTATAGGCAGGGACAAGAAGAAAAGCAGATGATCATTTTATAATTGAATTACAACAGAGGATCAGAGACCTACAGGAGAAGCTTGATTCTGTTGGTGTGCATGAGGTAAGAAACTGCATGGGCATTTCACTTAACTATTATGTAGAGGGTCTTCACTTGTGTTTATCTGATGGCTAGGTGATTTTGGTACTTTTTTTGATTTTATGCCATGGCATTACTATTAGGTGCTGTTTGATGTGTGAGCAGTGTTTATTTTTAAATCATATTTCTTCATTCCCTGACAATAAATTAAGTAAAATATTAGTGGATGTTTAGGAATTTTATAATTTTGGGTTATTGAGAAGAACTGAACCCCTGAAAAAACCTGATTGTTTGACTGTTGGCCAATTGTCAGTACCTTTATATCTTTATGTACTTTTTTTTTTCCAGAAAAGGATATACTGATTTCAAAGCAAAGGATTGAATTGATGCAGAAACTGTAGAAACCAGTTTACTTCTGCTAATCAGTTGTTTTGGAGTGTTGCTCATTATATTATTTTCATATGATTCCAGACCACCTTGTCAGCCCGAATTGCCACGCAGGATGAAAAGATGGCATCACTAGAGAACAAGATTTTGAATCCTCGTGAGGCAGTTGCTTCTCATGGACTGAAAGTGAGCTTGAATAATGTTTGCCAACTGCATTCTGTTCACTTAAACAATCATTTATATACTGAGGAACAATTTATTATGTTTGTGGTTAAGGATGTCATTTATTTCCTTTAATTAATTAAAGATTGATGTCCTTTTACTTTGTTGACAGAGATCAGAAGAATTGGAGGTGGTGCGCGAAGCTATTGAAAGTCTACGAAGCTGTTTTAGACCACATGACCCACACCACCACACCCTTGATACATTAGAACAGGTACTTGTCAGAACTTTTCTTTCCATAAAAACCTTTCTGTTACACACATTAGAGCACATTGATATTGAGATTGTGCTAAATATAAATGACTTATTATCACAGAGACTATTATTTCAAATTTCTTGTCATTTATTTTAAAATAATTTTATTGCATAAGTGTCAGTGTGCTTTGCAACTCTTTGCTGATTGGGTAAGAAGAGGGACATAAAAAATTAGCCAAGAGAATAAAATTGTGTAAAAATCTCGTCTTTGGGTGTTAATTGGTTAGTTTCAAAGTGTGTAAGGGGAGTTGGAAATGAGGCGTTTAAGAAACAAATTCAGGCAAGCAGTAAAGGAGACAACCTGAATGTGGGAATTTCAATCATGTCCTAAAACCCACAACCTTAAGATACATGGCTACTCTGCCTGGTATAAATTCATGCAGTCAATTATCTATCTCTTGGGTGTAGGAGCAGGGTTGTGGTTTTAAATTAAGCTGATTGTTTGGATGTTTCTTTGGCCATGAATGCAAGGATATGATGGAGCCAGAGATGTGGGTTGCTAATTAAAATTACTTCTGGGGAGAAAGTAGGTACTATACATGTGTACCTGCAGCCTGGTGCATGAAAGCCAAGAATGATGATTTTATCGCATCAAGAAGTCTCTTAGTCAAAGAATGTTTTGGGCTTGCATTTAAATGTACTTACTAATTTTAGATATTTTTGTGTTTTACACAAAATGTACATGGAACATTAAACTGACAACAACTATTCACTTGACTCTGATGATGACTTGTTGAAACATCACTGCCAACAACAGTCCTTTTCAGGACTACACCATAGCACACATTTTGTATCTGATCAGTTTTTTTGTCCTTTTGTTTCCAGAGAGTAATTGCTGTTCATTCTTCAGACCAACAGTCACACCCTTTTAATTCTGATACTGAAAATGCAAATATCAACTCCAAGGTAAAGATACCCCACATGTTGAAAGCAATTATTTTTACCAGCAGTTTTATATCCTGTCAGTGGTAGTATTTTCAGACAATTTTTTGTATTTGACATAATCTTCAGTCTTTAGAGTCAGATTGTTTCTCTTTTTTCAGGGGGTGAATGGATTTGAACATAGTAATGGATACAATGGCAAATCACTATTACATCACAGGCAGTTAGGTATGTGATTAACAATAATCATTTTTGTGCTGGATACTTTAAACTGCAGATATAACCATAAACACTGGAGATTGTTATGCATCAGTGGTCACTGCGTTACATTGTAAAGCTCACTAAAGGCATGAGTTTTAGACACGATGGTCAGGCTGTAACTGATTTGTGAAATTCTCTATCCTTAATTAACATCCTAACATCAATGTGCATTATTTCCCATACTTTTCTCCATTAGTCAGAGTATAGTTTTGTAATTGTGCAGTTTATTGTGAGTACATGTAGCACATACCCATAAAGTAAAAATAAAAAAATTAGAATGAAAATATTATCACAATACTTTTCTCGATACATTTCTTAAGGTGGCAATGAGTAGCATTAAGGAGGTGATGTGGCTGAGTGGTTAGGGTGCTAGACTTGTAATCCAGTGTCCCAGGTTCAAGTCCTCCCCCTGACCACATTGGATAAAATTTATCCAGTGAGTGGTCAGGTGGAGGACTTGGTTTCCCCTAGTTCAACTCCTCGGCTGCACTCTGTTAATAGCCTACTGGTCTGCCTCTCGCGAGTGAGGATTTTTAAGCACTTAGTCAGTCTACATTGTGGCTGAAAAGCCCCTATGAGGAGCTTCAATTAATACTATATTATAATAGTATTATTATTATTATTTGATTAGCAATCAAGAGCTTCTTTAGTTGGTGATCATTTCCTTTACTCCTGTGACCTTACTGCTTGATTCAGGGGTGATATTGTAAAGAGAAATAAGATGCTAGTCACTCCTGAAGTAGTTACAGGTCAAAGGGTTAGTGGTAAATATGTTATGTGTTGCCAACATTTTTCTTATTCAGAGAGTATTGCGAGGGAAGCTTCAGGAATCAGCACCAAAGTATTATATTTCACAGAGAAAACTGTCACTCCATTCCTTACATCAATACCGAGAAGGTTCGTAATGTGACTGTTACATATACCTTATTAACCAAGCGCGAGGGCCGTACTGGGAGAATATCGGCCTGAGGCCTTGACAGTATGGACTGAGCGCAGCTCGGTCCATACAAAAAAGACTGAGGGCCGATATTCTTCCAGTACGGTCCCGAGCAAGCTTGGTTAATAAGAGATTTATTATACAACTGAAGCTCAAAGGGACACAAGAGCGGTTTCATTCAGGACCATTCGGGACAGTGCCCAGTCCAATACTTAGAGAATATTGACAGGCAATAGAGCATTTTGATTGGTTGATTTTAGTTATTGGCCATCTGACTGCCCGAGTCATGTAATAAACTTTGTTATTCTTGATATGCTTAAGGATTGTAAGCAAATTGTGAGAAACTGAAATTTGCCAAATGTATGATATATTTATTATTTAAAATAAGTTAAAAATTAAAAATTGATCAAGGGGCAGTATCATTAAGGAATAAATAAATAAATGATTTAACAATGGACATCCACTGGGTGGCTATTCTTGTCCACTGTTCCAGATCCAATTGGAATTTGGAATGTTGGTTTTTGCGGAGGGAGGATAACAGGGAGAATAGGTGGTAACACTGAAATGATCACATAGTATGAACAGTTAATAAATTTATGCTTTGTCATCATTTGCAATTACATTTTTCCTTTCTTGTGGAGTTCTGAAGCATCAGTTTCATTGAAATTTTTTCTTTCGTTTCAGACTTGGAGAAATAACTTTGGGAGACTTCAAGGAAGCAATTGACAGACCTGGAATGTTTCGTTATCACTTCAAAGCTTTAGATCCTGAGTTTGGAACAGTTAAAGAAGAGGTATGTAAAGGGCTATTAATACTTTGACCTCAGAGGTGTGAAGACTGACCAGTGTTTATGGTATTGTAATATTAAGTTAGCATAAAAGGGGTTAGTTTCACAAAGGAAATGTGGTGCTCTGTCGATAGGGGTATTACAAGATAATTTGGTTATTATCAGCTGATTTGGTAACTAAAGGTAAGTAAGCCAAAAAGCTGATGTTTTTAGGGTTAGCCTTGTTTTGAGTGTTAACTCAAGGCTGGGGCTAACAGTCAATACATCACTTTTAGAAACTCTTTGTAGTGGCCAATTTACATTTTCAACTCAGTTAATAAAGCCAAAAAAATATCTTGAAACTTGCAAAGTCTACTTTGCATAAAAACCTGGGGCTTGCTGATTGTCATGTAAACAAAAGATTGTGCTGTGAAGAAGAAAAAGACTTATCAGCAGACAGTAGATGACTTAATGGCAACCAGATGTAGTAAGTTTTGTTTGTGTTTAACTGGAATCAACTCACAAAATTTCATTGTAACCTCCACTGCTTCCTCTTTGGCAGGTGATAGATGATGGAGACATAGTACCAGGTTGGGAAGGAAAAATTGTGGCTTGGGTAGAGGATGATACAGGACAAAAAGCTCTTTCTGGCTACCAAGACCAAATGACGTGACAAAATGATGCATTGAAGAAGACTAGATTAACTGTTATTAATAATATTGTGTATATCAATTTCAAATATGACTAGGACTTACAGATGAGTTCCTGAAACAGTGTACTATAAAATGGATCCTTTAACTGTAGCTTTGTTTTGCTCTCAGTGCTATTTGCTTATTAAGGATTAGTTGCTACTTGATAAAGTGAGCCCTGAAGATGGATCTTTATCTGCATGAGCTCTGCCATAGAGGTTAAAACTGAACCCCTTCTCTTATTTAAGAAGTCATTATTTGGCCTTTTTTCTGATAGTCATATTTGGAGGCCTTTTTGGTGAACTGGTGAATGTGGAGATCCCAGAAGGAAGGAAACTGTGCCCACTTCTTGCATCAGACAATCTAAATGTTTATGGCTTGGATTCTTGGAATTGTTATTAGTGGTTGTCCATAAAGGCAGATATTTTGTCTAAACAAAATACTATGACTATAAAATAATTATTGAATTGCCGATAGTATGGGTAAAAAGCTTAGTATAGACCACTTTCATAAATGGCTACTGGATTAATATTCTTTTGTTTAAATTTAAGTTAGCCCTTCTGGCCTCGCTTGAGATAATGTATTCTTTTGAATTTTGTACTGGAGAACGAGGCCAGAAGGGCTAATTTAAATTTAAACAAAATAATATTAATCCGGCAGCCATTTATGAAAGTGGTCTATTATAGGGTTCATTTACTTATTTATTATAATCACTCAGTTATTAGATGGCAGATTATATTACTATTAATAATTATATGTAGATATCACTTCAAAGTATGCATACATGTTTAAGGTGTAAAGAAATCATGATATTTTTTTTTTATTTCAAGAGTTTCTGTTATCTTTTGTGGTTGACTGGAACACATTCACATGTGCACATAAATTTAAACCAAAGCCTTTCTGTGGGGAGGTTGTAGAATTGAATTTTCAGATTCAGTTAGTAAAACAGCAAACAGCAAATGGCACATTAGTGGTGAAGGAGTGAAAAAGTGGGTTGGGTTGCTTTGTGTGAAAAACTAAACACCTGTGTTTAGTTGTATAAAGGACAGATAACTGGCCATTTAGCAGATAGGTGTTGATGAAATGTACTGCGCTATCCCCTGGATCGAGGTTTATCTAGCTGGTGAATGGCATTATCCACTCTTCTAACACAAGCAGGTCTTGGAACAGGTTATTTCAGATCCAGCCAGAGTAAAAGAAATTAAAGTTTGGTTGTGCAAACTGATAGTTACAAATAAGCAATATTGTTTCTTTTACATAGTTGCACAATATTTCTAGTTGTAGCAATGTTTCAATTGTAGAAATTAGATGTTTAGAAGAGCTTGTCACAAAAAAGTATGTAAATATTTATTGTTTAAAGGAAATACAGAGGATGTAATAAAAATTGTGGTTAGAATTACATTGTTGAAACCCTGATAACAGCTGACTCCTGTCAACTGGATTTTTCAAGGGAATATATAAGGTTTGCATTTGGGACTGGGGTAAAGTAAGAAATAAAATGACCTGAAGAGGAAAGAAAATCTTCCATTAATTCAGACAATCAACATCATCTATTGAAAGTATAAAAATTTAATATTAAGCTTTTTTTTCTAAGTACTGGAACTTTTTATGGTGAAAAACAAACCCAGACAAGGACCACACCATTATCAAACTGAGAAGCCAACAAAGTTTAACCAAGAGTTAAAATTCAGTGATTGCTAAAATTGCCCTCATTTCTGTTCAATCTGGTTTTAGTCTGTTCAATCATGTAAAGAACTAGTTTCAGGTTGTGCAAGAGGCATTTGAACAGGCTTGCATTATAACAGTAGAAAAGCAGCTGAGAAGCAAGAGTAAGGCAAGTGAGAAGCTTTGAACAACTTGATTAGCTTGCTAGCTAATCAACCTGTAGGTTGGTGACTTATAACTCAGTGCTCTGAGAGCTGACTAATACCTTACTCTAGTGCCAAAGGGGACCAATAATCTACTTCCATAGCATCCTACTCAAAGTACTAAAAGATTCTACAAGTGCAGTTTAGTATTCCCTGCAGTCATTTTATTTCTCTACTCCCCAGAGGAAATTGGCATAATGGCGTCATGACTAGCAGGGTGCATAAGCTGTAAGGGGAACAAACTTTAAATTACTGAGACAACTTTCCTTTTGTATCTGCTCAAATACCAAGTGTAGTTGGCCTGCATCAACTTACTATGTAAAAAGAGAGATTGCTAATTTGCTAAACTATTCTAAATGTCACCTTTGTCCTATCTGAATGGTCAGTAATGGATCTGGTCCTACTATACAGAAAAAATCTGAGTCATTGATTCTTTGAAAATTCCAAGCTCGGTGTTATAAATACATTTACAAAACACACTTTTGAGTGCCAACAATATGATGCACAAAACTAACAAAATACCTGTAATATTTACACTGATAAAACTATGAATATTTAAACTGTAATATTTAAACTGATTAAACTATGAATTTGTATCCCAAAAGCATTGCCGCCTTTCCCCAACATAAAAGTCAAAGTCATAGCATTTTCCACAAGTTTTGATTCCACAACGGTACTCTGTTGGTTGGCCATTGTCATCTTCTCCTTGGCAAAGCTTCAAGTGGCAGGGGTACCAACTTAAACATATTTCTACTCTACAGATGCACTCAGCACTCAGTTCTGGTGTATTTTTACATGGTTTCAGCACCTTTGTAAAGCCAGTTTGATCTTGAGATGCCAACTCAAGTTTATCAAGATCCTCTCGGGTTGAATTTCCTATTCAAAACAAGGATAGCAGTTAAAGTGACTGGCCTATCACTGTGGGGTTGTAAACAACAAAAATAAAAATGTGAGCCTTTCTTTTTGTTCAGTTTTGAGCTACTAGTATGTGCTATTTGTGTTAGGTACTTTAGTTTTATCAACTGAGTTGCTAATGCAAATTGGTCACCGTGAAGAGCTTCTAGAGTTGACATTTTAAGCATTAGCCCTTCATCAGAGCAAGTGGAGAATACTGCGACAAAGGGCTACTTAACAATTATTCTATGAGCGCGCGTTGGATATGAGATGACAATTAGCCAGCGAGGCGCATAGCACTGAGTTGGCTATAATCATCTAATATCCAACAAACCCGAGTGGAATAATTGTTTTATTAAAAAGTGCCCCCAAGATAATCTTCTCGACTTTATTTTGTAAGAAGAAACTGGATGTTACAATGTACAGATATCAGATTATGGTATATTGGCTCATATACCATAATGGCTGAGCCAATAAAAAGTCTTGAATTGCATTATCCAGCAATCCAGTTTTTAATAATACTCTTTGCAGTGGCCAGCTATTGTGAAATAGAAATCTCAAGTTGATAATCTAATTGACTTTTAGCCCCTAAAGATACATTAACAAGTCCCCCTTCTAGCTGCTTTTCACTTCCTCTGTAAAAAAATCAGGGAATTTTATGAAATTTAAGAATAAATATTAGCGAGAAAAACACACAACGTTTCAATGACTCCATGTCATCATTCTCAAGTGAGAAGAGAATAAAAATGAATTGTTAATTTATACTGTACGAAGGTGACAAATGTAAAAAGTTTTTTAAAAATTTAAATAAATAATTGTGCGTGTTGAGTTCATAAATGTAAACTATCAAATAAATAGTTTCGCGCATATGGAATCCGATTGTTTGTTCAAAGAGGGCTTCATCTTCTTTATGAAAAGCATTTCATGAACTAAACAGTCCAGTTTCCCGGTGCACTTTTTAAGTACGTTGAAATGCTTGGTCAGGTTGGCGATGGTTTGTAGGCCGTGGTCGTTCTTTAGATGTTTGCCAATGCCCAAATTATGATGCTCATCAATACGTTGATGTAAATGCCGCCTGGTGTACCCGACATACTCTGCATCACACAGATCACATTCATAATTATATACAACGCATTGTTGGCTAACTGTAGGAGGATTACGCTCACGTTTTCTGAGATCTTCACAGATTTTGCGACTCGGGAAGACGGGTTGAAGGGTGTGATTGATTTTGTCCCTTAGATCTGATAATTGCCTTTTCACTGCGTCAGCTGACTTTTGATCTTTAAAAGGCAAAACCACTCGGTGAACAGCATTTTTGTTGATGGATAATTGAGCTTGCACTCCAGGGTTTTCCGACCTAACTGAGGTGACAAAGTGAGAGATGGTGGAATTGATGAGGTGGTCGGGATGCTTGAGGTTTGTAAACATCATCTTTAGATGATCACATTCAGATTTGAAGGACGCCCATGTGGACGACAGGGGGAATGCACGATTCAACATGGTCTTAAGTAGTGATTTCTTGTACCTTTCATCGACGTGGCTCTGGTGATGAAGCAGTAGGCCTGTGTTTGTTGGTTTCCGATAAACACTAGTTTTTAGTTTACAGCCTTTCTTGAACACTTCCATATCGACAAAAGGTAACTTGTTTCCAGATGCTAGCTCCATGGTGAAGTGTATGGACGGATGGCAGTTATTTAGCGTTGATAATAAATCTTCTGCCGCTGGTACACTTGTGACAATAGCAAACGTGTCATCTACGTACCTTCTGTAAAATTCAGGGAGCTTGTTGTCTTGATCTAGTTTCTCTGTTCTATCGAAGAGAAACAAGATCAAGACAATTCCACCATCTCTCACTTTGTCACCTCAGTTAGGTCGGAAAACCCTGGAGTGCAAGCTCAATTATCCATCAACGAAAATGCTGTTCACTGAGTGGTTTTGCCTTTTAAAGATCAAAAGTCAGCTGACGCCATGAAAAGGCAATTATCAGATCTAAGCAACAAAATCAATCACACCCTTCAACCTGTCTTCCAGAGTCGCAAAATCTGTGAAGATCTCAGAAAACGTGAGCGTAAACCTCCTATAGTTAGCCAACAATGCATTGTATATAATTATAAATGTGATCTGTGTGATGCAGAGTACGTCGGGTACACCAGCCGGCATTTACGTCAACGTATTGATGAGCACCGTACTTCGGCCATCGGCAAACATCTAAAGAACAACCACGGCCTACAAACCATCGGCCAAGCATTTCAACGTACTTAAAAAGTGCACCGGGAAACTGGACTGTTTAGTTCATGAAATGCTTTTCATAAAGAAGATGAAGCCCTCTTTGAACAAACAATCAGATTCCATACGCGCGAAACTATTTTTACATTTATGAACTCAACACGCGCAATTATTTATTTAAATTTTTAAAAAACTTTTTACATTTGTCACCTTCATACAGTATAAATTAACTATTCATCAAATTTATTCTCCTCTCACTTGAGAATGATGACATGGAGTCATCGAAACGTTGTGTGTTTTTCTCGCTAAAATTTATTCTTAAATGTCTAACAAAATCTAATGTCATTTGAATTTTATGAAACATCAAGAAAATGTCTTCTACCCAAATAGTTAGTCTATTCTTAATTTATATTTTAATCTGCAGTGATATCTTAAGAAGTTAAATGTCAATAACTGAACAGCACTCAAAATTAGATTTTCCACAGCCCACATCACTCTGAATATGGGGTTTAATAAACATACCATAAGCTTATGAAAAAAGCAGACTCGAATCTTATGTCACATACCTGATAACAAAAGTTTCGTATTAGCTCCACTAAAGAGCACTTTTCCAGCATCTTTACAAAGTTGATTGATGGTTCCTTCTGTTACATTTGCATCCAAAATGACCACATGATCCATGATGTGAGATTCACTATCAAGATCCTCTTCAGGAACCCTGATTGTACTTGGGTTTTTCTAAATGAAAATGTCAAAGTGAGGTTTTCAATAAGAACTGGCACCTGTCAGGGCTTGGATAGCAGTTGGCTCATCCTGCAAATTCTTACATGTTTCAGTAACATAAAACAACATGGAATGTTGCTAATTTCCCAGCCAGACCCTAGTCTGTCGCAATGTTACCCTCCCTGTGCACGTGAGTCTCCCAAAAGTCATTTACACCGTCTAGAGAAGAAAGGCACTAAGGGAGAAGTACTTTAAAATGGCTAAACACCTGGCTCCAACATACAGACTTAAAAAGACTAAATACCCTTCAAGAAATTCCAAAAGTTGCAAATCTTGTTTACTAGAAAAGCTTCAAATTTTTGGAAATGCTTAACACCTGAGAGACCTCTGATTCTTTAGAGAAGTTAAGAAGAACCTTTCTGAGGAAAGTCAGTGACGATGTCTGACTGGCATGCATTTAGTCCATTTAACCCTTGACACACTAACATCAGTATATATATTCTCCATATTGTTCTCTACACATTTCCTTAGAGGCTGACAATGAGAATTGGTTTCGCAATCTAAAGCTTCTTTAATTGGTTAAGACCATGTTGCTGTCTTTTTACTAGAGGTAAAGTGTTCTACCCAGGAGCACAACTCAGAGACCTTGCCAGTTCCGAAGCAAACACCAGTACACCAGCCAATACTTCAGGCTCCTGTATCTCCCATATAGTTAGGATAAATCACCCCTGAGTCATGGAATGCAACAGTTCTTCAGGAACTGACCTGTCTGAGTTTTGACATGGCATCTGACGATATAAATTCTTCATCTTTGAGTTCTGCTACAAAACACATGGCTTCATAAGAACTCTCTGCTTTATCCATTTCACCAAGGACAACAACTTGAAATATCTTTCGTTTCTATGATAAAATATATATAATTCTTTTTTGAATATAGCAGTATTCACATATGGTTAAGAAATCTGATTTTGATTGAGTTTCTTTCTTCATTTGTTTTTTTTTTTAAGGGAAAAATCAGGAAGACCTTCTCTACATGCTCCCTGAAACGACGTCTATAATGTCTCTATAGATACTACACAATTAGTTAAGAATCTATAAAACTTTAATGTCATTGATGAAAGAAACCTCGGAACTGCATTATACCCAAACAATTATCTTTCGTCTCATTAACTTAACGTGGACCATTTTCGGTCTAAAACTAAAGCGCAACCAAAAACAGAACTCACAGCTAATATAGATTATTTTGAAACTATTCAACGGTTGTCAGCACTACCTAAGTCAATAAATTTCACGAACCTCACAACGTTTCATACCGAAAGAAAGGATCAGAAAGAAATTAAAGTGGCCTCGCTCCTAAATATGCTTTGAGAATCGTTGCGTACATCACAGTAGAAATGAATTAAAAACTATAATATTCTCTGATTCTTATGGACACCGATCTTTGTAAATAGAGCTTAAAAAACCTCCCTTAAAAGGAAGCTTTGGCACATACCTGACGGAAGTCGATGTACACCGAAACGAACCTATCTTCATTATTCTTGTATTCGATGATAACGAAGTCTTTTTCGGGATCTGCGGAAAAAGTTTGCTGCACTATCTCATCATCCTTTGATTTAATGTTAACAACTAAACTAAAGCTGCCGTTTTGAACCAAAAATGCAAGGAAAAGAAGAAACGACAGCCGAAAGTGTGCTACCGCCATTAATGAGGTGAAATCGCAAGCATTGGTGACAAAGGAGTGGGACGAGCCCAATATTTCATCCTCTCTGCACAGGACAACCACTCGCTTGCAATTGCATGAATACCAATCTCTAAGTCATGTAATCTGACGGTCGCTTTTTCAGCGAGAAAATGGAAATGGAAAACACACCTTGAACGTTAACATGGGCTGAGAAGCTCACGAATTCATACAAAGCGGAAATGAAGAGAAATTTAATGGCTCATAGTGGAGACCAGGAGATTCGCATTTTATCTGGGAGAGTGCGGGATAATCCGAGAGGGTTGACATATATGAGCTTGATTTTATCGGGTGATTTAGTCATTTTGTGGCTCCCGGACTGCGCCTTTCCTGTTCGGGTACCTGCAACTCTGCCGCCCTTCCCAATCTTTATCATGGAATGCACGTCGTTCTATCTTGACCCTAAATATTTACAGCAGGGCTTGCACAGCTAACCCTAACCAGATATTGCCATAATTTTGCGAAACGCTTTCCTGTTTCCCCTTCTTTTGCAAATTCCACACGAAAGCTTTGAACGTGTACTTGAAAAGGCCAACAACAAGCTGATGACTGAAGCCATCAGTTTGAAAAGGCCAACAACAATGACTGAAGCCATTAGAAGTCAACCCCCAGTTGGCTCAGCTCGGTTGGTAGAGCACTGCACCGGTATCGCGAAGATCATGGGTTTAAATCCCGTAAAGACCTGACTTTTTTTTTGGGTCTTATTTCACTATTGTTCAAGTAGTGTTCATTATTGCGATGACCACTTTCATATCAATTCACTGGCTGTAGCTCTTCACATTCTTTCTTTTTGGCTTATATTTTGCTCTTTTTTCTTGATGCTGTTCGACCATTCCTCCTGTTTTCTTTGTTTATTTATTCGTTTTTGTCCTGTTTAAGTTTTTTGTTTGCCGTGTCCGAACTTTTTCTAGCCCGTTTGAAATGGAGCTCGAGTTTGAAAGCCTGAGTGACAGAGAGAAAAAGAGGAATGCCTTACTCGCGCCTCCGCTTATATCGCCCCGTTCTACGAATTGAACACCAGGAATTCTGTCCTAATTATTCATTAAAACTATTTTAAGGTGCTTACGAAATGTTCCATTTTAAGAACAAAGCAAAAAAGAAACTTAAAAAAAAGCAAACAAACAAAGCTGACCGAAAACCAGAGGCTTCCCCCCTGTTAAAACAGAAACAATAACACAAAATCACTTGCGCAAGTCACGCATATGTTTCTACAATTTTAAGCTCCAAATTTCATATAGAAACATATCTGCATATATGAGACCCATCCCTTTCACCTTGACCTCTGACAATTATTAAATTACTCTAACAAATTGTTCAGAAACACCCTTAGACAAGTGACTCCTTGAAGTTTGTGCGCTTCTTTCTTTTTTATTTTTTTTGTCTTCAACAATAGGTAAGAATTTGAAAATAGGAACTTGCTTTAGTGATCAAACGCCGATTAGTATAAAACTGGCGCACTCGTGTTATTTATGAAGCTAGCGTGACTTCCGGTCACTGAAACATGCGATCGAGGTAACATCACAAGGAAAGCGACAGATCGACCGCCCATTGAGGGGAACCACGGAATTTTTTGATTGCGAGAAAAAAACCGTCGCAGTTGCTTGATCTTCACATAATGGAACAAAACGAGGCTGTTGTAGTCAACGAAGTAGGAAATCACGATGGAGATATTGAAGGTAAACAAATCGAGAGGCTAGTTTCTCGGTTTAGACGTCTATTTGTCAGTAACGTTATCAGATCGATCGCCACATTCGCTGTGGATTATTTTTAAATTTAACGTCAAGAATCATATGTTTTCATTCAAATTCATATTTCATGCTCTTCAAAATTATCACGAAAGGCAAATGGAAATTTCTACCGATATGGCGAGTAGGTAGGAGCGAGTCAACGACAACAAGATCACAAAGGTCTTTTAAAAACGGATCGATCGAGATTTATGTGAGGTTGAAAAAATTTCAAGGTTGAATTTAATTGCTTTAAATCTTTTTTTTTTCTCTTGGCTCTCTGTCGAAAATTAGGAAATGTATTGAAAAGAAAACAACCGTGGTCCGGATACAATTGGCAGTGCTACTTGCTCACTTATGTAATTCAAGTAGACTCGGATAAATACAATATTTCCTCCTTCCGTAAAGCGATGGATCTTTTTCTTCAAATTTCATGCTTCTTACAGAATTCGTCAGATTCTTACATTGTTTATACTTCGTGGTGATCATTGGGATTATTACTCTTAATTCTCATGACATCAAATTTTATCGCAAGAATTATTCTTTTCTGGTACAAGCTCCCTTGGGAAGGGCAATTGTTTTTACCACAACACTTACTTGTACCGTGATGAAATCAATCACGCATAATGATCCACTCTTCTTCTAAAATTTAAATGCTTTTTTTCACAAGTGTGTCTCAGGGGTAACTCAAATGATTGCGATCTGTTTGGCTAAAGAATTAGTTTTGGATAAACCCTCTCGATCTGGTATGTCTGATGTTTACACGGTTCAAGCCGGTTCGTGTTGACATATCTGCATGAATGGCTAAGCCAATAAGATCATTCGCTGGAAGTTCTTGAAAGATTTAAACCAATCACAAGCTGCGCTAAATGTTAACTTCATTTAGCACAAAATGGCAGACAAGAGCATAGTGGACGGTGTAAGTGGACAAGTTGAAAAACGTCCGAACTCACTGGAATTTCCCGAGAAATCTAGCCAAACTGCAGAGAATTCTCGCTCAAATGAACGTGTTTTCTCACCAGATTCGGCCAGGCGGCATCGTTTTTTCGCTGGGCCCTCAAAGTTTGCAGCAGTTGTTGGGCAGGTTATTGGACCGAAGAACCACAATGTTTTTCAAACTTTGCAAGAGACCTTGGAGGTCCTTAAGGATGAGGCCGAAGTATCGAGGGATTCACACAAAAAAGAAGGCCTTTGGTGTCACCCGTTTGAAATTCCTCGCCACCCCATAGAACAGATTCAAATGAAAAATGAAGAAATCGACCTGGAAAGACAACAGTCGAAGATGATAGAGGGTTTGACTCCAGATGACTTCTCAGAGATAGAGCAAGTCTTGAAGAAAGATAAAGACGATGACCTGGACCATTGTGCTGAGAGATTACCTTTTTATCAAAGGCTGTCTATTTCCGGCGGAGATATAAGCGGGGTATGTTCATTTCTTTGTACGGTGCACTCGTAGTCTACCTTCAATTCTCTAGTCAAATTTTTTTTAGTTACTTTCGGTTCTTAAAGATTTTCAGTAAATGTCCAGAAATAACCGTGGTGAGAGACCTGTCAAGCTCTTGTAAAATTATTGAGTAAGTCCTTTTTAGATTTTCTAGCTAGCATCAAGGCATTTCAAGCAAGGGCCACTACATTTTGAATCAAACCTCGGTGATTCCTATTACCCTTTAATTCCCAAGATCTGATCATTAATTCTCCCTCTAGCTGCCACAGATTTCCTATAAAATAAGTTATGAGAATGTTGTGTTAGGTCAAGATAGCAACTTCGTACCTCATAATTATATAATTTATAATATTCTTGAGGTGAACTCCTCAACAACTTCCAACCATGATTGAACAGAAAGTTTGTTTTGTTTCAGGTGTCCATTGATGAGCTGCAACAAGCAGCCAAGCTCTTAGTGGAGGCCTTGTTTATCAGATCAAAATACATGGCCATGAGCATGCAAAGCTTTTGTTCCACAACTGCTCGGAAACTGAAGACTGTGCATGAAGATTTTGATACAGAAGCTCATTACTTTCATTTGAAGAGACCTTCCATTGATGATGATTTAGGTGAGGGCCATGAACCCTAGCTTTGCTATCTTTCCAGTCAGCTTTATGGGTAGAACATAAATTTAGGGATGAATGTACAGGAAATATTTGCGTCATTGTGGGTATTTCCTGTCTCTTCCTTGGTTGGAATGAAAGAAAGAAAGTTTGACATCCAAGTAGTTTACACCACAAAACCTTATCTTGGTCTCAACATTTTTTGAATGACCAGTGGTAAGGGTACTCTCCCAAGATGGAACACCAATCCACTGCTAACTGGGTTCCCTCTAGCATCTCATTAACTTAAAGTTTGTTCACAGTCTGCCAGTAGCCAAATTATTTATTATCCAACTGTGCTTCACATATCATGTGCAATATTTGTACTCTAGAAATATCTTCAAAATTCACAGGCACTGAAACAATTTGGCTTTTTGGATAATAAATCTTTTATTAGAATTGTTTTTTTGTGTAGTATCGCTGACTACTTTTACTCACAATTTGTATTTTGACTCCCCGTACGGGCTCGTCAAAATACGGCACAAGTCATAAAAATACTCAGCAATACTATACTATACAACAAAATGTCTATATATAATATACTCATGAGTATTGTGAAAAACTGAAAGATTAATTTTATCTGTGTTTTGGCCAAGTGATTACAGTTAACCCTTCAACCTCCAAGATCTGATTGTTAATCCTCCCCTCTAGCTGCCAAACCTGTTTCTCATAAATTAGTTTCAAGAACTTGGTGTTAGATCAAGATAACAACTTCTACCTGATAATTTTTTAGTATTCTCACTAACTTTTTGTGGAATAATATATGGAAATCAAAGAGAGACATTAGATTTTAATCACCTCAGGGAGTTAAAGGGTGAACTCGGTGGTTTCAAAACAAGCCAGCGACCACCGGAGTTCCGCCGGCTACTTGATTGTATGTCGCCGGCTACTCTGGTCATAACAGTCTGCTTGTGACAGACAATCTCGGCGTTATCACAGCCACCTACTTTTCCAGAGTCGGCTGCCTACTTCAAAACATTTTGAAACCCCTGTTAACTCAAGATGCAAAGCCTGGTAGCCAGTGTTCATTTCCTGTTAAAGTGTTGGCTGCTAATTACTAGGTGTTTAGATTTAGGTGTGATATTAAACGTTCAGAAATTATGTTAAAGTGCCTTTAGATACATCTCACTGGTGTTTCTTTTTAACTTTCTAAATTTATTCTCCAATTTTTTCCAAAGACACCTGTCCTCTACAGCCCTTTTCTATTCAGTCACCATACGATATTGAGATACCTGGCGACTGTGGTTATATTTTTGAGATGATTGATGGCGTCTACCATATCACAGCCTGTAAACGAGATGTCTCTGGTGACAGTGATTTTTCTGTTAGTGACTCAGCCCAGCCAGTGATGCACCCTGCTCCAAACCTGCATGAATTTTTTGAAGATCAAAATATTCTTCTTGCTCTGTCAACTCATGGACCTATGTAAGTAGCTAGTTAGTAGATAACCATGTCAGTCCTTTTATCCCAGCATGTGATCGGCGTGTAATTTCTCCTTGTCATAGCATTATATTATCAAGCAAACAGATAATAGGAATACAGTAGATATGTTTATCAACTGGAAGACTTTTTCACTGATAAAATTAATCTTCAAATTCTCTGAAGAAATTTGGAAGGAAACATACAATGACCAAAAGATAGAGTTCCTTGGTTCTGTGAACAGTTATTAGTCAAGGAATTTATATGCAGTCAGAAAGCAAGCGTTACAGTCTTATTATTTGGGGGGGAGGGGGTAAGTAAACGTTGACGATTTCTTATATGAGTCTGTGAAAGATTCTTGTCACCAACTCTTGGCCTGAAGTAATGTTTAATCTATTTATGGTCACTAACATGGTTCATGAATTTACTCTTACTGGTTGTCTTATGTTTTTGCTTAATCTCAGAAAGTCATTTGCTCACAGACGCTTGAAGTACTTAGATTCTCGACATAGTCTCCACTCTCTGCTGAATGAGAACAGGGAGCTTGCAGCTATGAAGGATGTTCCACATAGGGACTTTTACAATGTTAGAAAGGTTTGTCTAATTCTTTGATCTTGCTTGTTTTTTATGCTTGCATTGCTGTGTAGTGGATTAACTTTCTCATTGGTCTAGGTTCTATGTTTCACAATAAAGCTTGAATTGGAAAGAATACTCATGGAAATTTGACAATGACTTCTGCAAAGGTCAAAACGCAAAGATGTACCATAGAAAGAGAATAGGAGATTCAATAATCAATATTCCTTGAGTGTACATTTTTTTTTTTCAGCAGGAGGGGGGATGGGCTTTTATATGGAGCTGAATGCTCAATCAAATAAATATGGTGTGCTGTTTAAAGTCTATTATTGTCTCTGATGTTTGGGGCTGTATGTATCAACTCAGGTGGACACCCACGTACATGGAGCATCCTGTATGAATCACAAACACTTGCTGCGTTTCATAAAACGGAAAATGAAGTACAATGCTGAGGATTTAGTGACAGTGCATGAAGGAAGGGAGATCACTTTACGAGAGGTAAGAGTATGAAGTATTGCATTTCTTAGAGAAAGATGTGAGACATTTTTTTTCTTTGTACACTGTATACAATTTGCAGATCTATTATTATCCAGCTGTGCTTCGTAGATTACAAATAACACGGGAGACAAGTACAAATATCACTCGATATTTGTACTCCAGAAATATCCACGAAATTCGTCCATACTGAATTAACAATTTTGCATGTTGGATAATAAATCTCTTTTTAGACGGTTTGTTGTGTAGCATCACTGAGTTTTTTTTAGTAAAAATACTCAGCGATACTACACAACAAAACGTGTAATAAGATATATTTGTTATCTTCGTGTACTAAGTAATTCTTTTTTTCATCAGGTCTTTGCTATGTTGAAGCTGACTCCGTATGATCTTAGTGTGGACAGATTGGACGTACATGCTGTGAGTGTGTTGATTTATTATAACCCTTTACTGACCCTAATGTCATTATGCATATTCTCCATACACTGTTCTTGATACATTTCCAAGGGTGCTGACAAGGAGAATTTGTTAAACAATCAAGAGCTTCATTAGTTGGTGATCATTTCCCTTTCCTGATTTGCGGGTGATAACAAAGGGAGAAATTGGATGTTAGTCACTCTCAGTGGTCAAAGGTTAATACCATGGCTGTGTCTCACAAGGACTGGGAACTACCGAATTCACGAATTTGATTGGCTGAAATCAATATTTAAAGCAGTCTAGATTTTCCCATCTAGACCAGCATCTAGATCGGTCTAGAAAGAAAAGTTACAAAGAATATATTATAATGTTCCGTTGCTTTCTTGACACAGTCATATAATTAACATCTTATTAACCAAACTAGGTTGGTCTGTATGCAGGGAGAATCTTGACCTTGGTCACTGGTACAGACCTCACTGCATTCGGTCTGTACTGGGGACCTTGGTCAAGATTCTCCCATACAGACCTCCCGCTCGGTTAATAAGAAGTAATTAATGAAAACAATTTTTTTCTTGTAATTGCTAAGGAAATGCGTAAAGAAGAGTATAAAGATTGTAGATCCTGATATGAGGGTGTAAAGGCCTAATTAATATGTAAACCATGCGTGAACACTAAATATGCACTGCACTAATCAGATTGGAATACTTGACAAAATAATATACACTGAATACCTGTTCACCTTTACATATTTCAGGACAGGAACACTTTCCACCGTTTTGACAAGTTCAACACCAAGTACAACCCCGTAGGTATGGCTGATGCTTCTCTTTTTGTTTCCCTTTCACTCCCCAAGATCTTTACTTCAAATTTCTACACTGCCTGCAATGCATTTCTCACAAACTGAAGCCCTGAGAATTTGGTGTTAAATCAAACAGTATCCTTTAGTTGATAGTTTTCTTACTTCTCCCAACCTTTCTGCTGGAAAATGTCTTGATTAGGTAAGGAGAAATTCCTTTGTGGTCACTGCTGACAACGAAAGAGTTGATGAGGCTGTCACTTGCGAATTTGTCCGCAAGCTTAATGATATTTTGTGCTTCTAGGTGAAAGCAGGTTGAGGGAGATCTTTCTCAAGACAGACAACCACATCAATGGCCGTTACTTTGCGGAGATGTTGAAGGAAGTCATAGCAGATTTGGAAGAAAGCAAATATCAGAATGCTGAATATAGAATATCCATATATGGGAGAGCAAAGAATGAATGGGATATCCTGGCTTCTTGGGCAGTTCAACATAACATGTACTCGGACAATGTGCGCTGGCTCATTCAAATTCCTCGACTGTAGTGAGTAATATTATTAAACTCTGTTTGAAAACTAATACCACTCTCTAGAATGTCATCAGAAGATTTTTTCAAATCCCTTATACAACAGTCAAATGCGGTATCAAACTGCAACATAGTCCCTTGGTTTTTATGCTTGTGCTACAAGCCAACTACAATTTTATGGTTCTGAGTTCTCATGGGCTCTTTGTGATGTTTTCTCCTGTTCTGATTGGCCACTGTGATTACATGTATTTTGGTTTTGGTTCTATGGTGCCTGATAATCAAAATATGGTGTTGTCCAATTGTTGAATTTTGTGACTTTGTTTTGTTTTGTTTCTTAATTTTTCAGTGACATCTATCATTCAAAGAATCTTGTGAACAATTTCCAAGATATGTTGGAGAACATTTTCCATCCATTATTTGAAGCTACAGTCAATCCACAGGCACACCCAGATCTTCACAAATTTCTTACTCAGGTATTACAGCAGCTTATTGTGAGGTTTATTTTTAACCCAAATAGTGTGTAGTTTCAATTTTAACCTGGAGACTGAAGCTCAATGAATATTTTGAACATTTCAAAGATCTTACAAGTGTTGTGATGATTTGGTAATCAGGACGTGGAAGCAAATATTGATCCAGATTACAGTTCTTTTTTTTTTTTTACCTTACTAAGGACTTCGCTGTACAATATTTTTCTAGATATATCAAAGATTTTTTTTGTACAACAGTAAAGCAACAGGCTGTACTTGTGCTTCTGCCCTCTGTTCATACATCAGTAACAGTCATGGTAACAAAGGCTTGCATTAACAGAGAGAGCAATGTGCTCCAAAAAGTGAAAAAATGAGAGAGGAAACTTTATGAAACAGAAAAAAATGAGAGAAGGCTGTAAATATGTTGAAGGAATCATTGACACCATCAAATTTCTAAGGTCCCTTTTTTAAAATTAGTTAGCTGGAAATTCTGTGACAGGATTTCTTCTTCATTGTCAACAGGTTATTGGCTTTGACAGTGTGGATGATGAAAGCAAAGCTGAAAGTCATTTGTTTTCAACCAAGAGCCCTTTGCCTGTAGACTGGAACAACACAGAAAATCCACCCTATGCATATTACCTCTATTACTTGTACTCCAACATGGTGGTTTTAAACCATTTACGAAAGTAAGTCTCATCTTCCCAATTAACCCTTTAGAACCTAACAACGCTATCCATATTCCTCATACTCTTTGCTGTATATTTTCTTTGTTACTGACAAGGAGAATATGTTTGACAGTCAAAGGTTCTTAGGTTGGCAATGATGTCATTTTTTCTCATGATTTAAATGAAAAATTTAGCAGTACAACTGCGTGGAAAAATCAGTTGATAATTGTTCTTAAGGTTTATCAAAGGGTTACCTGCTATGAAAAATTATTTTCTATCAATTGAAAGTAAGTATGAACTCCTTTGTTTGTTGTTCACAGGGAACGTGGTTTTAACACATTTGTATTGCGACCTCATTGTGGAGAGGCTGGACCTGCCCATCATTTGGTGTCAGCATTCATGTTGGCTGAGAACATCTCTCATGGTCTTCTTCTTAGAAAGGTTTGTTGTTGTGCAAGTTTTATTAAATTATGAACATAGGTCTGAATCTGTATGTGGGGGTGGGGTTTCCTAATAGCCAACTCATTGGGGGAGGGTCAACACTTGGTCCGGTCATTCTGTTGTATTTTTTCAGCTCAGTACTGAAGTCCGACAGTGCTTCTTGTCATCCAGGAGTATTAGTAATGCACAGGTTAAGGTGATCTACGGCAGCTTGTGAGTTCTCTCATTGCAGTCTAATTAGCTTGCGAGCACAGCCACCTATCATGCTATTGGCAGCCATGTATTTTATGAAGTGTAACCCCTGGTAAATGTACCAGTGAATTGTCAGGGGTAGCTGATGGATTACTGAGAGATGAGACAGATTCACATCCCATCAAGGGGAAGAAGTAGTACTCATAGTCCTTAATGCTACAGAGACTAGTATTACATCTTTGCAATCAACTCAAGATAGCCAAAGAGGGTGTCCTAGTTTGATTTGAATGTTGATTTTGTTTTATTTGCAGGTACCAGCTTTGCAGTACCTGTACTACCTGGCTCAGATTGGCATTGCCATGTCACCCCTTAGTAACAACTCTCTCTTCCTTAACTATCAGAGGAATCCTCTTCCCGATTTCTTGGGGCGTGGTCTGATGATATCATTGTCAACGGACGATCCCCTCATGTTTCACTTTACAAAGGTAGTTTTTAGTGTCATTGCAGCAGTATTTGAATCTCCATTTCTGCAGACTGTCTGGTTCTGTTTGTTCACAGATGACCAATTAGTTGTGCTGTTGTAAATATGATCCTTGAGATTAATGATGGAGTAGAAATTGTTTGGTCATTAACATCTGCCTGACCCACCATTCCTGTTGGCCACCTCTTTTTCTCTTTCTCTGACCAAATGACCAATAAAAATATTGAATGATTGACTGCCTGATTGACTGATTGAGTGGGAGAATGGACAAATGGACTGTCTGAATGATTGACTTACTTACTAACTGACAGACTGATTAACTTAGAGACCAAAACAAAGTAACTAACACATTGACTTATGTAACTTAAATGCCAGCAGATAAGCTGCACCCCACATTTGCCAACCCAAATTTTTGAAAAAAAATTTTTCCTGATCTCATAATCAAAGATAAGCCGCACTATTGATTTGCTACAAAAATGTTTGGGGAAAAGGTGCGTCATATTGGACAGTGTTTACTGTACTTAGTGACAGACTGATTGATGGAGAAACTGTAAATTAAAGTAAATAGATAAACAGAATGACTGGCTGAGTTACTTACTGACTGACTCACTCACTTACCAACTAACTGAAATAGTGACTGGCTGATGAACTGACTAATTAACTGACAGATAAACTGAATGATAGACGTGCAGACAGAAAGAGAGACCAAATGAAATTTTAAAGATCCTTTGACTATTCCGGACATATCTGTACGGTAGCTGGCATCTCCAAACTCGTGACTGGTTCTCAGTAGTAGTAAACTAGAGTTTAAAGCTTAAAGTATCCATTCTTTCAACTGGTGAAAGACAGTCCTCATAATTCACTCTTGAGAAGTTAGTGTCACATCAGACTCTATCATCAAGGTGATTGATGGGTAATATTTTATTCACCTTGGGCTGGGCTATGTGTTGGTATCCTGAGGAGAAACTGATCTTTTTTGTTCTGATTTTAAATCGTTAGGAACCGCTGATGGAGGAATACAGTATTGCAGCTCAGGTTTGGAAACTCAGTCCATGTGACATGTCAGAACTGGCTAGAAACAGTGTGGTTATGAGTGGCTTTGAGAATAAGGTAAGATGTTTCTCTGACTTGAGAGACTTTGTGGAGAATTTTGCCGTGATTAAGTAATGTGTTACAATCCTTTCAGGTAATAGCAAGGTAATTGTATATAACAAGTGACAGAGGTTTGAAAGAGGACCAAATTTTGTGCTAAAAAGATTGCCCACAATTTGTGGTCTTGGACTCAAAGGGTAGTAGAGTGGTCATATGGTTAGCACACTGGATTTCTTTTCTGGCTGTCCCACATTCTTGCTCTCCACCCTAAAACTCACTGAATTTGATCAAGTTTCCTGTGACTTCAATTTCTTTCCTGCTCTTTGTATATATACTGGTCTGCCTTCTGGCATTTGGGTTTATTAAAAACTACGTTAACACTAGTCTTATTTACAACGTGAATTTACAATCTGTTTGCATTTTAGGGCCTAGATTAAGCTTACTTTGTTTAAATCTGGTTTACTTTTAGATAGTAAATTAAGTGTCTTATTATGCTGTGTACACATATAGATGCTATAATAAATAAAAGAACATAGGGCGCAAAGCGTAGCCTATGTCTTCTTAACAAACGTACGTCTCCACAGATAGCTATGTTTATGTCTAAAAACTAAAACGATATATTCCCTAATTATTATTATTATTATTATTATTATTATTATTATTATTATTATTATTATTATCATCATCATCATCTACAGAGGTTGTGAACCAGGGTCAAAAATTACCAAAAAGATGCCATTGTGATAAAAATTTAAGGTATTTTCTTCGAAACCAGCACAAGTTTTAGTTCAGCAAAACTTTTGACCACCAATTTTAAACCGCCTCCACCAGATTTCTTCTTCTTTCAGTGTATAAATGTGAACATATGAAGTATGATTGACATTTTGACAGGTGAAACGTCACTGGATTGGTGATAACTACGGCAAGGAAGGAACTGCTGGAAATGACGTAACAAAGACGAATGTTCCGGATATTCGGGTTGCCTTCCGTCACGAGACTTTGGTGGAGGAACTGAGCACGCTCTGCACGGCTGCACGTGTCTAGTGCATGTCTGCTCGTTTGCACGTATCCAGTGTGCGAATGCACGTGGCCAAATCACACCATTTTGGCGTGTAACAGGCATAGTCAGCATCCTTTGACATTATAGATTTCAAGCCAATCCAGACACTCACTCATGAGGATTTCTAGTTCCCTTTCCCTATCCTAACAGGGTTTGACAAGAGATATGAAAAAAATTATTGCGATCACGAGTCTTTAAAGTGCATTAATCAAGAATCAATTGAATGGAGGTATACGGGCATTTGTACTTTATTTACCGTTATTAGAACGAAGTGTCCAATGTTTTCATGAACAAAAGAGGAAGATAAATTATCACAATCTCTAAGGTTTTACTGTAATGAACATGTTGTTTGCGTTAATTTCGCAAAAGGAACATGAAATTCTTCCATAATTTATTGAAACTATTATAGATATGAATAATGTTCGTTTATGTATTAATTTGAAATAATTAGACATGTTTTATTTATTTTTCCAATGAGCGTTATGTGGCTTATCACGCAAGATATCACAAGGACGATGCAGCCACCATTATTTAAGTAATGTGTCCCCACTTATAACGGAGGAAAAATAGATTACTTACGAGCATTTTTTTTAGCTCGATCATTTTCTCGTAGACGTAATTTACGAATTGTATCACCCGCTCAAAATATTTGACATGTTTCTTTGGTATTCACATTAATGGTATTTTTGAGATGAAGGTGGAATGGAAATTAGTTATTGAGATTTTATTTTTAATTATAGCGCTATAATATGAAAAGCTGTGTAAAAAGAGAGCATATATATTACTTGTAATCAATTTCATTACAGATGTTTGAGCTCATCAAGATAAATGGAGAAACTTGTGTCAGTTTGTACATGTCATGTTTTAATAGCAGTACAGTAATGTCTTTTTTTACCCCTAGAGACTCGCACTACCCCATCAACCAATCAGAAACGAAATAATACCATGCTTCTTTGTAGAACTTGTAGAGTTTGAAAGACCGTTTCCTCATTTGGCTAGGCTGCCAAGTCTTCTTCGGTAGACTCCTTCCTACCCTCCCCCTACCCTACCCCATAC